TCGGTTGAGAACTACCAGAAGCAATTCCAGGAAAAAGTGGTAAGAGCAAACAAGTTCGTTTGAGTTGATTAGTATCTAAGTTTGTTCACAGCAGGATTGATCGATTGTCTCCGCTTAGAGGTTAAGATGCAATCACCCGCCACTCTTTTGCATGTCATTGCATGACCAGAGCTTTTGAAAGGAAATAAGTTGTGAGTTATGACCAAATACAATTATAGTGATCCTTCTCAGTGCATGACCAAACGTAACAATTTAGTTTAGGACATACTGGTTTTACAGGACAACAATATTACGACATAATCTGGTAACGCTTTATCTCCAATTATAGAGAAACTAACAAAGGTAAATATGGTAGAAATAAGGCTGAAGGGACTGTATTATAACTACGATGAGCTGTTTGTCTCGGGTCACCAATATAAACGGTTATTATGGCTGGAGATTGAATGTGACACATGACAATAAAAAAAGATCAATGAGGCAGTTATATCCTATTTCAAGCTTGAGAACAAACTTGAAAACTAGAGAGGAATAACGTTATGGACATTTGTATGGTATAAATATAAAAGGAACAGCAAGAGTGGGAGATTAACTTTCAATTAAATATGAAATCGTAATTAGTATTAGATTTCTAAATAGTTAGAATTCTAATTAATCTTACATTCATAAATAATATATAATTTTTTATTAGTACTGAATTTTTAAATAGTATATAATTTATAATATTTTAATAGAATATTCATAATTAGATTTAGATTTTTAATTAAATTAAGATTTCTAAATAAAAATTATAATCTCTATATAAAAAGATATGTTTGCTATTAATAAAAATAAGTCAGAATATTATTTTAAACTATGAGATTAGAGCTCTCTCTAATGAGACCTAAGATAATAGCTCCCTTTAATAAGTTATAATTTATTTTCACAAAATACGTCACTCTTGCAATGAGGATAAGGGTGTTAATCCTTTACTAGAATACGAATTTGTTGTTAACCGCCAAGTGACAAAATTCTGGTCCCAAAATCATAACTGGTGACTTCTCTAATGAGTTTTTCTTCTCTCCCTCTTCAACAGATAATCGTCTTTGATTACTTGAGACTATTGAATTAGTTGCTTCTATTTAGCTGGTGGTTGATGATTGGAATTTAAGTAGCTTTTGATTCATATTATTTGATGAAAATAATTCTATTAGACTGAGATGTGACTTTAAAGAGATCATTGATCCTTATCGTAGCCATTCCCTATTCTATCATTGGCAAGAGAGAAAAAAAAAAGTTTTTTTTTTAGAATTTATAGATTCTGTTCTGATACCATGAAAATTTATAATTAAATTTTTTGTTTACTGAATTTTTGTTCATGATATCTAATTTACATAAAATGGATGTATATAAGAAAAAATTAGAGAAAGTTTTAGTAGGAGTTAAATACAAATCAGTCCTTAAAAGGAAAAGAACTTCCAGTTATGGAACTCCACTATTATTCTACTTTATAGGGAGATTTTTATGAAAATATCAATCTGTATAAGAATTGAACTTCTACAAGAAGTTGGATTTTTACAATATTTGTGTCTAACACTTGACGTCCATGTGGGACACTTAATGATCTAGAGCTAGAGTTTATGATATATGGTAATATAAAGACAATAATGAAGGCTTAGATTAAAATCGAAAAATAACACAAATGGAAATACATTTTCTCGAATGTATAAATGTTAAACATTTTTGTATAACAAATACTATATCATTATGTATTTTTTTAATACTACGTTAGTTATGTATTATTAATTAGTTTTTATATATATACTAATATATATTTCTTCATTTGCTACAAATATCAGTCTACTATATTTTTGTGGTAAGAATTGTATTTGTTATGCATGACATTTTAGTACCTTCCTAAACCTTATATTAGTGCTGATATTTTCATATCAAATGAATCTAGGTACCTGTATCCAATCTCTCAACTTATTGGCTGAATCCTCATATTTTTTACTATAAAAATTATTTTACCTGAAACTTGCACCCGAGTCCAAGCAACTTAAGAAATTATACTACATTAATAAAGTGTTCTTGTCTACTTCTCCCACCAGTTTTGTAATACCCGGGCCCGAAAAATGACCTGAGACAAAATTTTTATTTTTTAATTATTAACTTAAAATAATTGATTAATTTATTTTATTTTTATTTAAGTAGAATTTTGAGAAAAAATGAATTAGAGATGAGATTGAAAGTAATTTTGGAAAAAAAATGGTGAAAATTTGTGTTATGGGGGTATTTTTGAAAGAAAAATTGGAAACATGGGGTCAAAGTACAAATAGAGAAAGTTTGGCCACGTAGGACCATCCAGTCAGTAGTCTTGACGAACCGTAGCGTGCTGCGTGGCAAGGTGCGCGTGCCCCGCGATCGAACAGCTCAAGATCGATCCCGCACGCGTGGACGGCCTAGGATCGATCCTGCGTGCGTGGACGGCCCAGATTTCGTTTCTTTCTTAGGTACGATCGGACGGTCGAGATTAATCGCGATGAACGGCTCAGATTCGTTTCCTACTTAGGTGCGATCGGACGGATGAGATCGATCACGATGGACAGCTCAAATCAATGCGAGATAATTATAAATACTTCGCATCATACAAGAATCTGAATCCTAACCATCGGCCCCACCGGAGAAGAAAAATAATACGCCGGAAAAGGAGGCCGACCGCCAATCACCGCCACATTGGAGCCATAGCCAACTGCCAAAAAGATAAAAATTCTCCCTACCCACTCGGAATTCGATTCCGAGTATCTCTGTGGCTAAATCGGAGTAAGAGGGAGAGCGAGTGAGCTGGAAACCGCGGGTAAAATCTGGCGGAACTGCCGCAGCTAAAACTCCAAAATCCTTCTGATGAGCCCATTCCCGATTTTCGTTTCACGTGATTCTTCGATTATTGTGTTCACTATCTTTTTCTGTGTAAAATAGCCGAAAAAAGAATTTCAGTCCCGAAAGAGGACCAGCGGAGCCGCCGCACCCGGAGGGACCCCTGCTGGTACGTTCGATTTTTTTGTGTGATTTCTTGGTCAACTGAGTCCTCTAACATGTTTTTCTGTAAGGATACGACCAAAATTGGCCAGGTTGAGGTGAATCACCGCCGTGCTGGAACCCAAAAATTGGCCGGAATGAGTTTTGGACACTAATTTTAAACTTTTTGGGGTATTTTTAGGTATATGACGAGTGTTTTGAATTATATAGGAAAAATTTAAGAAACCCAGTACCCGTTAGGAGATGTAGTAGACAGCTCGATGTCTCGAAACACTGGTTCAGGTAAGGATCCCTCACCTTATTCTTAATTACAGTAAAATGAGATTTAACAATGTATAATTTTGTATTTTTATGAAAAATTAGAAAACCCTAAAAATAATTACAGGTTACTAGTGAAGTCGGAAACGATTAGTTCACAATTGTCGTGATTTCATGTTTATTTTTCTATACTCTCCAATTTGCTTGATTTTCGTATAGTACATATTCTTAATTTATAGTTCAATAGTTTTATCAACTTATCTAATTATTTTGGTTATATACTGTCAGCATGAATGTAGTTTAATTGATTTGTGAATGTGATATGAGATATTGATATGGGTTTGTTGGTTGTTTGTTAATGAAAATCTGTATGTAAAAGACTTGCTAGTTACCTAAGAAAAAGAGTGGACAGGACCGGTACATATGAAACCCTACCGTGAACATTAGTTCAATCGTACAGGGCTGAGAAGTCCCATACCAGAAAGGTTTGAGAGATATGATTCACTCTTATATCGGATGGGGTATCGAGATGATGGAATGTTTGACGCCCATTATCGGACCGGGTATGGGAACGACGGTCAATTGTAAAATTAGATATTGAGTTCACGAGTAAGGGGGACACCCCTATGAACTCCCAGGGGTACTAGTAAGCAGGTAAGAAAGGAAACTATTGTTTTTCGTTCTCTTATGTTTAAAGTGAAAAGTAATATGGATATGGATTTCATAGGTTATCTTTAAAAACTCGTTATGATAAGTATTAAACAAATGTATTTAAATAAAGTAAGGGCTCCATGAGTTATTTTTTTTATTTCTTTTGCCAATTTTTAGTTTTCCGTACATGTGGTTAGTGTGATATTTTTACTGGGTTAGTGTAGATCACCATTTCATTAATTATTTTAGATCAAGATGATCAAGATCCAGATTCTGATCAGTTAAGAGGGTTGTGAGTAGTTCACTATCCGGACTTCCCCCCTAGTGGTAGAGAAGGTTGTCTTAGGATGCTTAGTTATTCGCTTTTCATTTTATTTCTTTAATTTTCATTTATGTTTTAGAAGAGACATTCCTATAACCCTATTGAGCATTTAAAATTATTGTGTAAGGAATTTAAACTTTATCTCTATTAACCGCTTCCACATTTAATTTATAAATTTATGTCTTTTTAAGTTCTGGGTCTCTACAAGTTTAATAGGCAAATAGAAGACCGAATGCTGGTGAAGTGTGCATTATATACCATTTTGAATCAGAAATCACAGACATTGTCAAACCTTATCCAAGTCCAGCCCTTTTACATGTTCTTTTGAATAGTTTCTACAATTCCGGTTCTTTTTTTTGGTTTTTTTTGTCTTTTGCTGAAACTAGAGTTTTGTTTCTTCATAACACTAAGTTTTATCCAACAAAGTTATGGTGCCTACAATCCGTTGCACATTAAGTAGGTTAATATTCTTTTAACATGCAAATACTTGAACATACAGATCTTTTATTTTGTAACTATCAAAGTTTGTTACACATTTGGGACTTAGTTTATCCTGCTCAGAAGTTTCAAATTAAACAAAAACATAAACACATATAATATTCTGTTTTCTTAACTCAAACTTAAATACAAACCATGCACCTGTCGTCGTCATTTGTTGGTGTTTAGTGTCTATATTTTTGCTAATTATTATTAATTTAAATAGAAATTTATTTCTATTGGATGCATGTTTATGGCTTTTTGTATTTGCTTATAGGTTGCGAGATGAGGATGGTCACATTATTGAGCAAACGCAGGTGGCTTTTCTATTTTGTTATATTTTAAAATCTTAAATAATAGATTGGCCTATAATCTTCTCTATGAAAAATGCATAGAAAAAAAATCCTCTCCCTCTAGTTTTACTATTTTTATATAGGAATTTCTGTTTATAATTATTAAGGAATTTGGAGTAATTAGGCAATTTATGTTTAATGCTCCTTCAGAATAAAAAATATTTGTAAATGAGAAGCTAGGACTGCTGCTATCTTATATAAAAAAACATTTGTATGCAGATTGCATGAATTAAAATGATCAGAATTACTATTATCTCTAGAAGCTTGCAGAATGTTGAGGTTCCAAGATAGTTAGCAAGGGTTGCAAATTTATGAAACAAGCCACAACTTGTGGCAAGATTTCAACCTCAATTGACCCGTAATTAGATCCATGTCAACGGAAAATAACAAATTAGTATCAAACCTAGAATATGGATTTTCTTTGAAGCATTCTAGTAGCAATTTTAAGTATTAATGAGGATGACCAACTATCAAGAAGGTCAAGACTGTGTTCGTGCCAAGAGGAAGAAGGATTGTGTGCTCAGGGTAGTGAAAAAGGGAGAGCTGACCAACAAGCTTGATTTTCTATCTCAAGAACTCTTAGGTACTAGGATAGAAGAAAATCTCAAGAAGTCTCCACCATTGAACCTGAGACCACCGAAATAAAGGGATATGATCCTTGATACAGAAAACTTGATTTTTCCTGAGTTTGATGACAATGCAAACCCCCTTGGTTGGCTTAGCCAGTGTGACTGCTTTTTTGGACATTAAAAGACACCAAAAGATAGGAAAATGTTAGCCTGGCTTCCTTCTATCTACAAGATGATGTACAACTCTGGTTTTTCAAACTGGAAGAGAAATTGCTCTGGGGTGATATAAGAAGCCTTCAAGCAAAATTGTACCCTGCAGTTTGGAACTCCCATCCGCATAAATAAGTAGGGTTATCAAAGTTATGATGGATCGATTCTCTTATGGAACGCAAGTGAAAATTCGAGCAACTTTCGACCATGGAAGGGTATGTGACTTATGAATAAGAGGTCAAGATTTTTGTCAATAGCTTATTGAAATATATTACCTTGGAAGTAGAGCTCTAATGTCAGATTTAACCATGATCATGACCCTTGAACGACTATATGAACAGAAGATGGCAATGATCCTTGGAACTCCTTTTGATTCAGGGCTCAAATGCTGATTCACCTAATAGAACCCCGTTTGTGAAGCTTTTGAACAGCACAAAGATAGAGAGAAATGTAGTAGGAAAGGGTTTTATGTTTTAATTGCAACAGCGAGGCATCCTTGCAAAAAGTTATTCTAGCAAAAACTTGAGAATAATTGTGACATTGAGTCGGCATTTGCAATCACCTAATAACTAGACAATAAGTTGGAGATCTTCCTCCATGCATGATTGGAGTGCCCGCTATATAGACTATGAAGGTACTTGCTAAGGTGTTTGGAGAGACCCTGTTAATCTGATAGATTTGGGGAGCACATTGCATCATTGATAAATCCTTTGTATCATGCTTATGCCTTTCCATTAAACTAAGGTAGTAACAAGAATGATGGCCACCAACAACAAGAGCGCCCTAGAATTGGTGTGCCTAGATGACAACTAACAATAAGAGGGTTCTAGCATGGGTATGTGCCTCAATTCCCTTTAAAACTCAACTAACAATTCTCTTACTTGCATCTTTTGTTCCATCTTAGCAAATTTAATGTTTTCTTGGATATAAATTAGCTTAAAACTCCAAGTCCTATTTTATAAGATCACATTATTATAACTATGCTATCCTACTATAACTCATCGGTAACTTGCAAGCTCCTAGTAACTAGTATTATGGCAAAAGGAGTAATCAGCTGAAACTTGTTAAAAATGGTTTTATGTATTTTTTTATTGAATATCACAGTTCTATATATATATATATATGTTTTTTAAAATAGAAAAAGAAATATGCAATAGATAATTAATTACAAATTAATTACATAGTTTGTATTTTGCTCTTATAACCTTCAACATAATTTTCCTATAATACACTCCCCTTAATGCTCCTCTTCAAACTAGGGAATAAATATTTGTCTATCTCCAGCTTGCTAATGAGGGTTTGGAATGTTAAATTATTCAGATCTTTAATCAACACATCTGCTACCTATGAACTAATAGATATATATGAAGCACATATTAGGTCACTATCAAGTTTTTCTGTGACAGTGTCTATCGACCTTGATATGCTTGGTCCAGTCATATTGTACTGGATTATGTGTAATGCTTATAACTGACTTGTTCTCATAATATAGACACATGAGACTTTTTCATTTAATTTTTAGATATTTTAAAATTTTTTTATCCGTAGTAGTTTACATATCTCTTGGGATTTATTTGGAATTTAGATTATACATTTGATCTAAGAACTATATTGTTTGCTTTTTACTCTTTTAGGTAATTAGATTTCCTCTAAAGAAAATATAATAATTTGTGATAGATTTTTTATCCACAACTGACTTTGTATATAATCTGCATCCATATAGACTTATAGAAGCAATCTATCACTCTTCTTGAACAAAATCCCTTTTTTAGATGATCTTTTTAGATAATGTTGTACCCTGTAGGTTTGCCTATAAGTGCATTTCTTTCAGATGCATGAACTGACTTATAACACTTACTATGGATGATATTTGGTCTCATATGTGATAGATATATCAATCTCCCAACTAATTTCTAGTACATCTCCTTATCTGCTGGTTTAACCTTTTTCTACCACTTTAAATTTATAATTGAGATTAATAGGAGTACTAGTTGGTTTATATGCTAGCTTACCATTATATCTCAACAAATCATGAATGCATTTTTGTTAAGAAATGAAAATCTTAAATTTTGAGCGATTGGCTTCAATTCCAACGAATTACTTCATCTTATCTAACTCATTAATTTCGAATTTGCTTGCCAACATTGTTTTAGCATCCATTTTTCTTTCTCATCGTCTCCTATTACACTAACGTTATTAATATATATTAGGAAAGTTAAAAATCACCATGTCTCTAGATACTTGATAAATAGAGTGTGGTCTCTCTAAGCCCACTAATAAACCAGGACTGTAACAATTTCTGTCTATTATTTCTTAGTTAAGAACCTATTCTTGTTGTTTGTTTTTTTTCTTAAATTATATAAGTCTCCTAGATATAATGGAATGGTTAAACACCTATAATATAAAGGTGCTACCTTAATGTTTGTGAATAAAATATACAGATGTTTTCTTATTACATTAACTGGTTTAGCAAACATGTCATTGTGGTTCTTAATCTTGTGATTGTGGAATGGATTTTTTCTGGTCAAAATAATTTTTTTTCCTTACTCTCTTCTTCTCTTGCTGTCCATTTTCCCCTAGCCAATATGTTGTCCTTGTGGGCCTCGGCGCCGAATACCTTCATCTTGTGGAAATGTCTGTATGTATTTTTGTAAACAGAATTTTCTAATTTTCTTTACAAGATACAACATATAGCTTTCAAGTGACTAATGCTCATCTTGATTTTGGTTAGTTGACAAGTTGGTGAAAGGAAAAGCAAATACTGCACATTGTCTCCGATTTCCAGGTGATTGGTATGGCTTTTGGGTTATCTTTATCTATGGTTATTGATTGGTTTGAGTTAATAAAATGTCTATGAAGATCATATTATTCTTCATCATGTTTAAGTCAAGAGTCCACAATAACCTACACAATTACACGATTATCTTGCTCATTTGTATATTTAAGTACTGACAGTTTCTATTTTCAACATATAATTGTCTCTTCAAAGTCTGGAAGATTATACATACGCTTTTTTTCCTCCTTTCTCTTCAACTTTTTGCATAAATTATGTAAGATTTGTGGAACCATCAGCCACAAAAATAGGGAAGATATTTGTCATTAAGAGTTAGGACATTTAAAATGTGGCATATATGTTTGCTCCATAGCTCCCAAAATCAGCAATTGCTTTAAGGTATTGGATTTGTTAGAAATATATACTAATTGAATTTTATGATTGAATAAAAAACTAGGGGCTTCTTGTGATGATATTGCTTTATGATGTTTGTGGGGTTTCAAGTCATACACAGTCTGATTACTTTTTGTTTACTTGCTTATCAATTGTCACCTTTTTGTTTAACCTGTTAAATTTCGTAAGACAGACAGTTAACTGAACAGTTACTCTTTTCCACCTAGGTTTCATGTTTTTGGGATTGGACAGCGAACACTTGGATTTAGTGTCCAGATTGAGGTCAAGACTGGATCTAAAGTTTCAGTATGTCGTTTCTTAATATCTTATTCCTTTTTACTTCTTATCACATAGTTCACACTTTCATTTTACGTTCAGATTAATAATGACTATGCTTGAGTACTGCAGCAAGATGTGTCATAACTTGCTTATATGCTAGATTTTCTTATCGTGTAAAATAATAACCTTACTCATGATATGGTTCAATCAATTCCAGCCAATACAATGTAACAAGATTCTGTATGCACCATATTACCCTTCATTGACGGTGCCTGTGCATGAAACTTCTCCGTTATAACTGTTTTAAAAGATTTTTTAATATTCTAATTGGTGGATATATCTGATGCATTGGCCTTTTTTGGTTGTTATTGTTCTAATTCCAGGTTTAAGCACTTTTTTTTTTCGCTGGGAAGATTAAATACAGATTTCTCATCAGAAGTTCCTTTGAAATATCTTGTAGTGATTGTTTATCGGAATTTATATTTGATACTTATGGTGGTGTCCTAAAATCTATTCTAAGCTCAAGTATTTGTCATTGCCGTAATTTAGATCTGTTATTTTTCAAAGACCTTTTGCTATTATTATCTGAACTTTCCAAGTGTCCTCAAATCTATTGTGAGCTCAAGTATTTGTCACTGCATTAATTTAGATCTGTTATTTTTCAAAGACCTGTTACTACTATTATCTGAACTTTCCAAGTGTCCTCAAATCTATTCTAAGCTCAAGTATTTGACATTGCAGTAATTTGGATCTTTTGTTTTTCAAAGACCTTACTATTATTATCTGAGCATTCAAAGTGTCCTGTTTAGGTGGAATCATCATTTATCTAGTCTTTCCATGCTTTTCTTTTTGTATATTACTGAATGGACAAACATCCTGAAATTGAAGTAAGAAATCTCTTTCTGGACTTTGCTTTTGTTAGCAGGAAGTGATTCTGGGCCCTGAAAATAGAACAGTTGCATCTAAAGATAATTTTCTGAGGGTTAATCTTATTGGAGATTTTGTTGGTTACACCAATATTCCATCATTTGAAGACTTCTACCTTGTTATTCCAAGGCAGGTATGCTTCGATGTTGCTGCAGTTCAGCATTCTTATTTTGAATTGTGCCTCATTTTTTTTTTTTTGGCATTTGAGTTTTCCATCTTTGCTGTAATCTTTGAGGTAAGATGGATATATTTCAGCCAGCCAAGGAACAGTGTTTAATATTCTTGGTTTGCTTGATCTCTATCTAAGGTACACTCACATGCTTTAGCTGTTAGGCATCAGGTATCCTATTTTGCAACATATCCCATACAGTGGTGAGCTTGTCTTTTCTTTGGTAGGATTATTTTATAATTATTACATTATCCTAATAGGCAGTACTAAATAACCTTTGCAACAAACTGAGAAGTAGATGCTGCAATATCAAGAAAAAAAAATGATGTTTTAAGGACCAATGTTGCTCCGGGTCTATGACTGAGCTTGTATTGTGCAAGCTACAAGAGCTCGACGCATGGCTAGATAGTTCTCTGACACGATATCTGGAACAAGGCCTATTTGAGATGGATTGTGGATTAATAAAATGCATGAAATTTTCTTTCCCATAATATACTCTTGTCAGAATTTGAGTCTGTTTTTGGAACTGATGTATGATTTACCTGTACTTTTTTTAATTTGTTCTGTAAAATCTTGAGCCATATTTATCTGTTGATAAGGTTTTCTTTTTCCTTTTAAAAGGGTGGCCCAGGTCAACCACAAAATTTAGGCAGGAACTTTTCAATGTGGATGCTTCTTGAGAGAGTGCGATTTACCCTTGATGGTCTAGAATGTAACAAAATTGGGGTCAGTTATGAAGCTTTCAACAGTCAGCCAACCTTCTGTTCTTCACCATTTTGGAGTTGCTTACATAATCAGCTGTGGAATTTTCGAGAAGTCAGTATATCAAACTTGAAATATATTACTTGTCATTTTCGTTATGATTCTGTGTCTATCTTATTGATTTATGTAATGTGTAATTGATCTCAAAATTCTAGGGGGATGCTTCTTTTTTCAATCATAGAATTTGGTTCTCTTAGTCTATTTCTATATAAAATATATATTATGTATATTACTCTATACTTCGTTTCTGTACAGTACAAAATGAGTAATTTGTACAAGTTTGCATAGGGACACTTCATTGTCTCACCAACATGTGAAAATGATCTATTTTACAGTGTGAAGAATTTTTAGTAGAATGAAATTGTTTCATTACTAGACTTCATAACTATTATGTTTTGCCACATCCTATTTTGACATCAGAGAAAGTTGTCTTATATTTACAGGCTGACCAGAACCGAATTAATAGAAATCAGTTGCCATTATATGGTCTGGAAGGAAGATTTGAAAGGACAAACGAGCATCCAGTTATGTTTGGAAATTATTTACTTCAAATTGATTATATTGTCCATTTGCTGGTTAACTTAGTCATTTTTAATTGGGCGCAGAATGCAGGGTCTCACTCATTCTCCATAGGAGTGACTGAAGTACTAAATACAAACCTCTTAATAGAACTAAGGGCTGATGATATAGAATTTGTTTATCAAAGGTAAAAATTCAATTTCTAACAATTAACATCTGCTGTAAGTCTAATATAGAATTTTGTAGTCTAATATGGTATCTTGTGCGTAGGCCATGGATATTTGACTCAAGTATTATAGGAATAGCTATTTGCATTTTAACTGTTCTTTAACTACTTTGCTGCTTGATGTTAGGACTTAATTCTTGTCAATTTGAAATGCCTATATGGAGTAGAAAGCCATCTATTGACTCTATGATCTCTTCGTTCTCCTTACACATGGAAGGTGTGTGACATTTGGAAGACAGCTGGATTGGCAAGATCTCTTGGCAAGATATGTCCAATGCCTATGTAATCATTCCCTTAGTGACAATGCCCCAATGTGATGCAGAATCTAAGATCAACAAATGTGATCAAACACCTACACATATAGTTTAACACAAAAACTTAACCTGATAATAAATCTTCATTTAACCCACTATCAATCTGTGATTGAGAACTAACATAATTAGGAAAAGAATAAAAATTGATAAAATTTCATGAGAGTTATTTCGATAAGTAGAAGCAATTCTCAGCTCAACAAGATGGTTGAAGAAATCTCTCAAAGAGCACTCAAAAAGTTAGGCAATAAGCTTGAAAGTTAGATATTTTATTAATGAAAATTTAGATGATTACAACCAAAGGTGTGAGGTCTTTTTATAGCCATACATCTTAGAATTACAATAGGAATAGAAAATCAAGTTCTAGTAGTACTCGTCTTAAAAATCCTATTTAGGAATCTAATAAAAAAAAAAATTAAAGAGTCATAAATTAAGATGAATTAAAACTCTTCTCTCTTGAATGGTGTCTTTAATCATCAAGGAATGTGGCTGATTGTATTTTGCCTTACCTTGATCGGATTTGGCCTCTTTTAGTTAATAATTTTCGGTATAAAAGTTGTGTTAAAAATGGATAAAATTACAGCCATGTTTGCGAGAAAAAGGAATTCCTTATGGGAATCGTCCATGAGTGGGAAACATGATCTTTTTGGGCCTTCACTTGTCAACTATGATTTCAACACCTTTTTAATATAATTTTATGGAGAAGAAAAAACAATTAGGACTCTTAAAGGATGAATTCGGATTCCTTGAGGAATTTTAGCTTCAAATCCTACTTGAAGTACGAATTCTTACCGATCTAGATGAAGAGAGGAAGAGGGGAAGAAAATCTCTCTTGGGAGAGAATTTCCCTCGTGGATGGGACTCTTCTCCATGCATATCTCTTGGCCATGTGTCCTTACATTAAAGGAGGATGCATGGCTGAGACCTACCTTGGCTGAATGGGCATGCTTCCGTTCTGTTGTGGGCTTCTTCCT